CTACAAAATTTGTAAATTTTTTTCTCTCTAGTTATGGTTTTGGACATTCTAAATCTTATTGAGGTTGTGTTAAATTTAGCCTGAAGTGAGTGAGTTTTTATAGCTTATCTGATCAAGGAACCTAACTGTTATTTCATGGGATAGTTACATTGTAACCTGCTTGATCTTGAGTATGGAGCAAAAATATTTCTGTATGCCATTGCTCTACTTCTGATTGGTCAGTTACAGAAAGAAAGTGTATTATGAATGCAGTTTTGTTGTTATTAGATTAGATTTAGTCCAACTTTTGAGAGTAAGACAGCTTGTTTTCTTATTTATCTTAAGAGGGTTAAAAATTACTGTGTAGTCCTATTCCTGTTTATTCTGTTCTAATTGTGCTTGATGATTGTATATTGTTTAACTCTATACCCAGTGAAGTGTATTTTTAATCTTCTGTTACTTTGTTAGGTGTAGTAATCTTTGATGTAGTTCATCCATTTAAATACAGTTTAACTCCATTTTTATTTTAAATTAACCTTACTACCCGACTACTGTATTAGAACAATCCACCAGTTTTATGTTTCTACAGCAATAAAGTGTTTTATTTTCATTTCAACTTTACACTATGTCTACTTTTTGTCGTATCATCTGCAGCAAATTATTACATCTCTCATTCTGCATACTAGAAGCACAAACCTATGTTATTTTGTGAAGCTCAGATGGTTATATGTAGAAATAACTTTGACTTGCCATATAATCATATTTGTCTTGTATCCAGTGAATAAAATAAGGAAATATATTCCTTATTACAGAAATAGTATGTATGTTAATATATGCTTTGTTTTAATATAAGCAACTTGTTTTACAAACTACTGAAAAAGACACATCCTCAGATGATAAGAAACTGTTTAAAATTTTGCCAATCAAGATTAAGGAGTATGGCAGTTGAAATTGGTCAGAGGTTTACAGAGAGATGATGAAAGGGAAATTTCTGAGATAGTTATATAGCATCATATATTAACCTCCACTCTGGTTTGAAATAGATATATTAGTGAATTCAATGTAAAATTATTTTCAAAGCCGAGAACTTTCCAAAGAAAGTATTAGTTTTCCAAAGTGAGCAACAGAAGGGCAAAAAAAAATATTCTAGCTGAAAAAATATTTGTAAGAAATAAGTTCTCATTACACTAATTTTTCTGGTTTTCTTCTTCTGCCCCTATTTACATTGTTTGTTACATTAGTAGTTTTCATTATTCAATAAGGAAATATGAATTTATTATATTTCATTTGTTTGGGGACCATTGCTTTTGTAAATACTTAAGAATTATAGTTCACAAGTGTTACTGGGTTCACACAGGTCCTTAAAGTTCTGAAAAATGCTTGAATTTTACTTAATGAAGTTTAGGTACTGGAAAATAAATGATTTTCTAGGAAAGGTCCTGAAAAGTCCCTGAAAAAGAAAAGTTTCTGTACAAAAATATTACTGACTGCTGTAATAAATCATATAAATTATAAATTTGCTGTCATATACATTATTCCTGTATCACATTATACTCTCATGTTTCTATAGTTTGTGTTAAGTGATGTAGTATTGGTTGCTGTAGAATATTTTATTGTATTTTCTTCAGTGGGGTATTCACTACAAAGAATTTGCTCCTGTTCCAGCAGCACATAATATAAAATCACAAGTTTCCCCACTAAACTACATCCACAGTGTATTCATGCAAAATAAAACAGCTGCATGGAAAAAGTATCAGTGTAATGCTATGTCTGTAAAAGATGGCTAAAAGTTTATTAGGTTTTGAACAGACTCGGTTGCAGGATGAAGATTTTTACTGTTTTTTCTGCTTTTTTTTTACTAAACAAAAAAAAAAAGAAAGTGTAAATTCAATCCTGCATGGCAGGAGGTGGATTTGTATGCCAGTTGGCTGTTACCAGACCTCAATAATATTAACTGTGCATGCTGCAAAATATCTATGAAAGACTTTGACATTGGAAAAATGGGAGAGTCTGCACTCAAGAACCAAATGTATTCTACAAAACACAAAGCTCTTATGCTCAGTGCAAAAAGGTCCATACAGGATTTTTGTTCAATGACTTCCAATGCAGCAAAAAAAACTACTAGCAACACACATGGCACAGATACTGAATGGGTAAGTTTTTATTTTCCTTATTTTTGTAACTGAACTAAAGACTAATTAGACAAAGGAAAAACATTTCACATGAGGATTTTCTTGTTAGAACGGGAGTTATTGAGAGGAAGGTACAACTTAAAATATAGTGTGCATTCCAAAAATCAAAATGCCATTTCATGCAGAATGATTCGTCATCTCGATCAATTCACATGCTAGGGAGTTATTGAGAGGAAGGTACAACTTAAAATATAGTGTGCATTCCAAAAATCAAAATGCCATTTCATGCAGAATGATTCGTCATCTCGATCAATTCACATGCTAGGGTGGTGATTTGATCAAACCACAGTTGTACCAAGATATAACGTGTGTAGGGCCGTGGTGTATGGATACTCAAAGAACATTAAAGTGGCTAAATGTCACCTTTTTTTCTACTGAAACTAAGGAGGAATACAACTATAGTAAAAAAGAAATTAAAGGCTGCTTATCTTCTTTGTGTTTGAAATGTTTAAGTAATTTGATAATGAGTGAGCCCCATTATTTTTAGAATAGTTGTATATGTGCAGTGTTTTATTTGTTAATTTTTTGTGTATTTATATATATTAGAGAGAGATATTTTTGTCTTTGCCTCAGTACCTTTTGGTAATGTACATGATGCATTATTTGTACACTGAGAATAAGGTCAAGAGTCTGGTTAACTCTTTTGCAATGGTTGCCCCCCTTTGAACGCTTTACTGTGCAAGTTACTGTGTTACATTCCAAATTTAATTAAGCTCCTTTACTATCAATGTACATGAATAAAATTAATGTTGTATGTTTTGATGTGAAGTTTTATTTTATCTAATTTTTAAGTCGTTTATTTCTAAATAAACCTTTAATAAAAATACTTAACTTCAGATGCATTGTCGTGTAACCAACGAGCTATGAAAATTTGGCTCTATGTATCTTCAATAATTCAGTGGTAGTTGAGTAGAGGTGAGTCTAAATAATAAATGGCTCACATAACCTTTTGACTTGTACATTTGACATGAATACAGTTAAAACAAGTAATACAATTTCGAATATATCTTGTCTCCACTCACAAAATACCTTTTCTCGATTAGTACTGTCCCCTAACAGCACAAATTTTCAAAGCGTACCGCTAGCCTTCCACCTCCTGCTTCTTCACATCTACATGCAAATAATCATGCAACAGCTCTACACCAATAGGAGCGCAACACAACTCCTATCATAACCAGTGCCCTCTTCACATTTGCACTCATTAATCACTCCTCGATTTGCAGTAGTACTGTACAGGTGTGCTCGTTTTTGCTCACGGATTTGTCGACTTTTCCTTTATACTACAGACTTAGTTTTTGTTTACCATTTAATTACATTTTTGCATTTTGGAATTGTGAAATGTTGCTTTTTTCCAACTTTTCTTACTTTTTCAGGGCCTTTTTGGCTAGTGTATTGTGGATCCCATTCTGTGGCAAGTGGTGCCTGACCAGGTATACATTTTTCTTTCTAAAATCTGAACTGTCAATCCTGTGACCATGCTCAATGTCAATTATGTTGTAGCTCTTCCTACTGTGGACCTGATGTATAATTCCAGATGCCACCAGGTGTTAGTTGTGTGTCTCCATTCTATTGTCATCCGTGCCTAAACAATTACATTGCAGCATTGGGTTATGTACACCGTAGAGATGGGGTGTTCCATAGGACTGCTATTAGTTCTCTCTAGTGGTTTCTTGCTCCATAAATATGTTTGTCCTGGACTGTACACTCATGGACTGTACACTCATGGACTAACATGAGTTAAGCAAACAGAGATTGCTGCCCATCTCTGATGCTTGGCAGCATTGAGACTCTTCCTACTGCAGACCTAATGTATAATTCCAGATGCTGCCAGGGTTTGGTTGAACAATTCTGTTGACATGGTAGCTCTGCTTTTCAAAATATGGTATCAGAGTCACCCGTTGCACTGTCTCCAGTGATGCAGCCCTCCGGACCCTCCAATTCATTTTTCCCTCCTCTCTTACAGTGGAGTATGGGAGTTCTTACATCTTACCAGTTCCTAGCCACTGGGGTGTGGACCATTGAGGCCTGTCCTCCTGAATGGGGAATCCTACCACTCAGTTGAGAGTAGGGTGATGGCATTCTGCAGGTGTCTATGGCATATAGCACTTCCTACTGTGGACCTGATCCTGATTATACAATTCCAGATACCACCAGGTTTTGGTTGTAGCACTTCACCATATTACTGTCCATATATCTTACCAGTTGCCTTTTCCTACCATGGCATTCCTCCTTTCTACCATGCTCTAGAGGTACATTTTTGGTGGGTCTGGTGTTGGTTGGAAATGGCCTGGTCATGATTAAAATCATGTATCAATGGCATGACACCCTTCCTACCGAGGACCTGAAGTACAATTCCAGGTGCCGCCAGGTTTTGGTTGAAGCACTCCACCATGTCATAACTACATGTCTATAATTGTAGTTTGCCCTCAGGCTGAGACGCTCCTTCAACCTACCATCCTTTGGATGTACATTCTCTATGGGTCTGGTGTTGGTTGTGCATGTCTTCCAAAGAAAATGTAATATGCTTTGAGGACACCATTGACTTGTGATGAATAATAAGTGGTAAAGGACAAGAAAGGAAAATAAATAAAACATTAAAAATCAGTTATATGTGAAAAGGAAAATACCTGAAATTATGAATTTAACGAAAGGGAAATCTTTAAAAATATTCTACCAAAAATTAAAAGGTATGTATTTTTTTCTATTTCCTAATTTTAATTATTTCATTGTATTAAACGTTGATGATAATAGCTAGTTAGTGATATGATAGAGAAAATGACATAAAATATAAACATTTACCTTACAAAAACTTTTTATTCTTTTAGGCAGTTCTTTTATGCTAAATGAAATATGAAAACTGTAAGAAGAAAAATATTTTTATACTTAAAATGAAATCACCTTGCACTTGATTTGTTAATAGTTTGAGTGCAAGTAACTACAATAGAAAAATAACATATTTTTAGTAAAAGCACTTAATTATAATAATGTCGTTCTTTGTGTACAAGATGCTTATTATCCTTAAAAAAAATCTTACCAGTCTTTGAGAGGATACGTTAAGAAATCTCAGTTACTGCATGCATTATTGTACATGTGAAACTTGCGGCTTGAATTCTGCAAATTGCACAAGCCCAATGCAAAAGGGTTAAACTAAATGTAAACCCTATGTAAAAGATTATTTTACAGTTATAGTAAATAATAACACAAATTTTAATAACAAGTAAATAAAAGCCTCACCTCTTTCTGATGATTAAAAATATTGCATTTAATCATCTGAAAAAAATATAATTGTTTTGTTGTTGTTGTTGTAGTGTACCAACACCCAAGTTTAGACTACAGTTTGTATTATTTTTTAAAAGCCTGGACTAGTTCATGTTTTATATCCCCCTGAAGAATCAACTGTCTACTTTTCATACAAAAGGCATTGTACCATGTACTATGAACATTGATACATAGCAAGCAGAAATATTGTGGATATCATGTGGATTGAACTTTTATGTTTCCTGGCACAGGAGCAGATTGTCTCTCCCACTTCAGTATGTTGACAGAAAATTTTAACTTGGGAAAGCTATCAATGACCAACCTCGTAACCACCAAAATAAATCTAAATGACCATCTCTTTATTCTAGAATGACTTCAAATTGTAATATGAAACAATTTTTTATCCTAAGTAGATTTAAACTCGTAACAGTATACATCTATTTATGATTAAATTTTATTGTTTTATTGCCCTTTGAGCCATGTCTAACTACTATTCGTGCCATTATAAGTTATAAATAACTTGGGAACTTGCAGCTCGCATTATGCTGTCGAATTATGTTATCCACGAGCTGTTCGCGTGCAGCCTCGTGAAGTATTTTTATTATATTATTTATTTTATTACCTAATCTAATCTTAACTAACCTAAAGAGATCCCTATTTTTACATTTTAATTACTTTTATAATAAATTGTTTAATACCCAATGGTGATCTATGGTCTTGTGCTTTTTTTATTTTTTTCCATTTGATATTTTATTAAAGTCAATTACGTGGTCATTTTCATGAAAGTGAAAGGTTATAGCTGATGTGTTTGTAGAACAGTTTTTAACATCTTTTTGGCGTTCTTTGAATCTTACTTGTAATAGGCATTATGTTTTTCCAGTGTATTGTTTATTGCACTCACACTTCTGTTGATGTTTCATATTACTGAAGATATCATGGTGTAGAACTTTCTTTTCAAATTAGGCCTGAGTGGTATTAGTACGCATACGTACAATCTAGAACCGAGTCAATTAAACTTTATAAAATCATGTATTGTCTGAAAGAATTAAAATTTGCAAGTAAGTAACTGTTATTTGCAGAGAATGTGGTAGAGATGAAATAACAATCACATATTTCAAGCATTTTAAGCTATTAACGATGAGTAAAGGACCTTGTATTAAAACTTGCATACAATGACAGTTTCTGACATTCACACTAATTATGTTTTTTTTAGGGAGATTCATTTTAATGTCTTTAGGATATAGAGGAATACTGTTGCATATGTATATTTTATTTAACCAGTACGTTTTATTGAGAAGTAAGTACTCTTCCCAGGTTGCAAATTAAAACTGCTATATAATTTGACTATCAACTTAACCCACTTATTGCTTGGGTGGTTGTCATTATTAATGATATTTGTTTTAACAGTGTTGTACTGCTATCTATAATCATATTGCATAAATAGAAATTGGGACACTGTTACATTAAAGTTCTGCCATATTTACTTTTAAAGAACTCATGGAATGATACCTATATGGTTACAAATCAATATATCTTTTTTATTTCAAGAAATTTTAAAATAATGGACTGTAGAAATCTGGAGTAAAGCAGTAACTTCCATTTTTAATACTTTTTTTTAGACTCATCCAATGATTTAGCTCATGAATATCAAATATGATTTAATATGTTTCTTTTTATTTCTTGCTAAATCTAAATTTGCAGAGAATTATAACTTGAAATTAGGTATGATGCGAGTTTTTGTGACCAACTTACTAACTTTGTAATGTTCATGAAGACCATGATGACTTTGTTATGGTTTTAATTAAACTTAAGAACATCAGTCATTATCTACACAAGTTATCATTTTTTCTTACTTATGTTACATAGCTTCTGAAACTGAGTAGAATTTTCAGTAGTTATTTTCTTAGTATTTAGAAGCAGGTTTACAAAATGTAATGAAAAGTACTGTATACCATGATGTAAAATTTGTGTAAACATGTTTTAATATAGACATTTATGCCTTTAAGTATACAGGTAACTTTGATAAAAAACAAAACAAAAGAAAGGTGTGAAAATGTTTTATTGACTGATATCTTGAATGATTTTGTAAATCCATATGGATTATTTTTAACTTTAAACATTAATTGTTTTTTTCTGTTGATATTAATGTTAATTACAGACACTGGGAAGTTTGAGCCACTAGACATTACACCCCTATCCAGTCCACCAGAGTTACCTGATGTTATGAAACCTCCTGAGACACAAGCTCATGAACAGGCTGTGGCCTAAACAGTGTTTGTTCAGGTAGAAGAAGTAGAAAAATGATGTGGGAGTTACTTGTTACTGTGTCTTTGGTAATTAGTGAATCATATTTGTATAACTGTCTTTACCTCAGGAATAAATCACTTTCAGTTATTTATAATTACTGGAGTATATATGATATCAGATATTAGCAAAAGAAACCTTTTATCTTAGTTATACTTGTAGTTGAGATTTGAAACAATCTTTGTATGTTCATTATGTTTGACTGTGTTTGAAAATATTTGAATTGTGGGCTCATAATAGCTACTTGAATTTTAACTTATTACTGTAAAAGAGAAATTTTGGAGATTCTTTTACTACAAAATAAGCATGAGATGAAGATATAAAGTAAAAAAAATTATATTTCATTTTTTACCACAAAGACGTTTATAGTAAATTCATGCTCTATGCTTTAAAAAATTACTATTTCATTTTAAAATATTGTATTGAGATGTGTCTGCCTACATATTTGGCTTAGTCCAGGTATTATTCCTTTTTGTCAGAAAAGGTGTAATTTCTGCTTCTGTTAATTTACTTTCTGAATATAAGTAATATCACCCAGCTGATGATAAATGCACAAACTGACTTCATGTAAGCATTTTTTCATCAAGCCTTCAGTACTATAGATACTTTCTTGACTAAGAAAGAGAGTATGAGAAAAGGCAAAAATTAGTTCAGATTTTTTTTTCATTACTACAGCCAATATATGAACTACTGTAGCAGCATGTACAACTATATATATGTATGATATGTAAAATAATACTTGAAAACAATGTATAGAAGTGAAAGGTTAAAACATAATATGAAAAAATCATAAGTATTACAGTAAAAGGTACATCCTGTTAGTGATAGATAGTTTGTGTTATCTTACAAATAGAGTCATACCTGAGATGTTACAACCAATGAATTATATTTTACGTTGAAGTTATTATAAGTCTCTAAACATTGAATATTAATTTATATTTAATCCGTACAGGTATGCTAAATGAGCATAATCATTTTATTTTTTAGTTTACCTGAAAATATTTAGTAATGCATACAATTTCTTGCATCTTCAGTTTAATTAGAAAGAAGAGGAGAACCATGTTAAAGACTAAATAAATATTAGTGACAAAAATTTTAATATGATTAAAACATTAATGTTATGAAGGTTAAAACACATCTCTGTCTTGTTGATTGTTGACTGTTGCCTTCACTCATTAGATGTACTTA